CAATTCTTAATCTGAGTTGCCTCCTGTTGGTTTGCCTTAAAGAAAAGCAAGTTATCATCTGCAAAGAATAAATGGGATATTGGTGGGGCACCCCGTGCTACTCTGCAAGCATGAATCAGACCATTAGTTTGCGCTTGTTGCAGTAACAAGGACAGACCTTCAGCACAAATAATAAACAGATATGGGGATAAAGGATCTCCTTGTCTGAGACCTCGGGTAGGTATGATTGGCTGGGTACTCATACCATTTATAAAAAATTTATATGACACCGTGGTCACACACATCATAATAAGATTCACCCACTTATCATTAAAACCCAGAGCCTTAAGAATTCCTTCTAGGAAATGCCATTTCATACGTTTATAGGCTTTTGCCATATCCAACTTGAGAGCCCCCCAGCCAACAACCCCGCACTGCTTCCTGTTCAGATAATGTCGAACTTCTGCTGATATCAAAATATTATCAGTGAGAAGCCTATTTGGAATAAACGCACTCTGTGAATCCGAAATGACACCCTCCATCACAGGTTTCATTCCTAGTGTCATCATCTTCACCATCACTCTATAAATGACATTGCTTAGGGCTATGGGTCTCAGATCTGTTACCTTCTCAGGTGTATTTTTCTTTGGGATTAACACCACATTTGTCTCTTCAAATGCAGGTGGCACTATTCCTGTATCAAGACATTCAATAACAAAGCTCGAGAAATCCTGACCTACCACATCCAGAAATGCTGATAAAAGCCCGAATTCATACCATCAGGCCCAGGTGCCTTATCAGGGAACATAGAGAAAAGGGACTGCTTGACTTCCTCCACAGTAAAGGGTTGAAGGAGAAAATCATTCTGTGCTTGTGAGACTTTTGGTATAACATTTCGAAAAATACTATGACCATCAGGGGGATTACTAGAGCAGAAAATATCAGCAAAATAATCCAGGATAACATTTTTCATAGCCTCTCCTTCCCCCCAGTCCCCATTATCATTGGAAATTCTTAAAAGAGAGTTTTTCTTTTTACGATGAGAGGCATACCTGTGGTAGTATTTTGTATTGGCATCTGCACCTCGCAGCCAGTGCTGCTTAGATCTCTGTCTCCAATATGCATCCTCCTGGTTCTCAATGCATTGTAACTCTTCCTCTAAATGCTGAAATTCAGCCAAAAATGCTGAGTCCGTACGGCCTCTTAACCGCAATTGATCATTCTTTAATTGCAGTATTCGCTCACCAAACTTATGATACTGGTCACTCCACCAACGAGATAATCTTTCTCCACATCGCATAATACGTTCCTGTAAGTCACCACCCATGCCTTCGTTCCATGAACTTTCCACAACAGACCTGCACCCCTGATCATATAACCAGGCCATCTCAAACCGAAAACGTTTCTTATACGGTTCCCTTGTACCCATTGGATCATGAATACCAAGGAACAAAGCTGAATGATCTGATTTTCGCGTTAAAATATTAATAACTCTTGCTCCTAGAACAATACTACTCCAGGTACTCGTGGTCAACACCTTATCCAGCCTATCCTCTATCCACCGAGCCGTGCCCTTCCCCTTCTCCCATGTATACTGATATCCATCCATTGGCAACTGGGACAGCCCACAGTGCTCAATAGCTTCCCCAAAGCCCCGTAACAGCCTATTCGGGTGTGGATTTCCCCCTTTCTTCTCATGCTGATATAAAAGATCATTGAAATCACCAAGCATAACCCATGGTAGGTCAGACTTGGGCGCAAGAGACTTAATGAGATCCCACGCTTCAATGCGTCGGTGACGCTCGGGATATCCATAATAACAGGTGAGCCTCCACTTTGGAAAGCCCGTCATACTAACTTCTATGTCAATGTGATTAGTGGAATCACATATAAGCCTTGCCGTATTATTCCTTCTCCATAACAATGCCAGTCCACCACTCAAGCCATCATTATCAACAAAAAATAAGCCTTCAAAACCAATCTTAACACGTACACGTTCCGCATGATCTCGACCTACCTTGGTTTCCATGAGGTAGACAAAATCGGGTTTTTTCCGGGACACCATGTCCACTAACTCACGAACTGTGCGTGGGTTGGCCAAACCACGACAGTTCCAGCTTAGGGTACTCATTGGATTGGGCGGGTCTGGGAACCAAGACCCGCCATGTGCAAGTTTTTTGAACCGCTGTTTTCCTCCATTCCACCATCCACTGCCGGGGCCGACTCACTCATCCCCCCAACCACCGCCCTCCGTCTTTTAGAAGAGGCCGTGATATCCTCCTCCGCCCCCTCTCTCATAGATGCCATAACCACGTCTGCCCTATCGTCATTATCCGGTGCCAGAACCGGGGTCCTATTCTGCCGTAAGGCTTCATTAGCGGCTCCCAACGGTGGAAGCAACCAAGACTCCCCCACCGGTCTCGGACCCCTGGTCTGTTCTGCTCTCATCCATGCCCCGTACGGGTAAAACTCCGGTTTGATAATATTGGAAACCCGTGCCTTTGCACAGAAGCTGTCAAGATGTCCTAGCAAGCCACAACAAAAATAGAAGTTATGTAACCGTTCATACTTCAGATTCACCCAACCCCAGGACTTATCCCGGCGTATCAGTTTCATTCGGCGTTTTAGCGGTTTGTCCACCGGTACCGAAACACGCACTCTGTAGAACATCTTCCATGGGCCACCCACCTGTCGATCATCACACCGAATAAACGACCCTACAAAATTCCCAACCTGCTCAAGAACTGCATTAGAAGTATAACCCATAGGTAGGTCATAGACTTGTATCCACATATCAACAGTATCAAGTTTGACCTCCCCCGGAAGGTATCCATCACATACTCGCCTACATACCAGTGTATGGTTCTCAAAGGACCACGGACCCTTCTCCAACACTCGCACCATATCCGTTTCATGATAAAAAGCAAAAAAGAAACAATCTATTATACAACTCTGTCACACGCATCCCGAATACAGGCTGCCATGCAGAAGCCATTACCTGACGCATATATTCAACCTTGATTAGCTTCTGCGTCAAGAAACGCCTGACAACACAATACATGGGCGCCTCCATCTCGGCCGGAGCATGCTCCGGTACGTCGGCCTCCACGCCACCTTCTTCATCCTCCAACACCATATCTCCCCATCGTTCGGTCAGGTCATCCATCCTTCCGTTGTCGTGCTACTGTGCTTCTCTCGCCATGTTCTTAGCCGGTGATCGTGCACCGTCCGTCATCCGTAACAAGTAAACCCTAGCGGGAGGAAGAAAAGAAAAACCCTAGAGAGGGAGAGAAAAAATTCCGTGCGGCAAAGTATATTTCTATTGAAATCTACTTGTAGATAATTTTAATTTCTTTCCTTGAATTATGATTCTATCCAATCTATAGCTAGCAAGCTCAAAAGGCACTTTAAGCAAAGAAACGCTACACCCATACAGCCCGGCATGCCACTATGGTTGATATTTTATGCGAAATAATAGGGAATTATTACTTTTGTAGCATATACAATGGCCAATTAATAGATTACTATGGGCGGCATCCATAGATTTGTACCAACATCCATCATTTATATTTTTCTTTTCAGAAATTTTTTTATTTTCAATTTTTATATTCATTAATAATTTATAAATTCATCGTTGTTATTGTAAATTTAAAAGAAAGTTATTTAGTCATAAATAACAAAAAAAAAAATCAAATAATTGACGAATGCATTTTATTTCAATTAAAAGTTTAAATTCATATTTATTATTTTTATGGGTCTATCAATACATGTAAATTTGAATGTTTTATCTCAACTAAAAAACTAAAGTAATAATAAAATTGTACATTTGTTATTCTTATATATTATGCTCAATGCAAATAGATCCACATCAAAGAATGAATTTTAGAATGTAAATCTATGAAAATAATTTAGCTTTGATAGAATAATTGACTCGTTAATTATAAGACAAATTAATAAATTTGAATACGTAATAAAATAAATCAATTAACATTTACTACATACACTAGTATTTTACCCGTGTAATGCGCGAAAAAAAATTATATTATTATGAATTTAAATACGAAATTACATTGCACTTATTAGGGTTTCGATTTTAGAGTTTATGATTGCGTTTTTTGTTTTATTTGATTTAGTGGTTCAATGTTTACTTCTTAAAATCTAGCCTTTACTGTTTAGATTTAAAATTTAACTTTTTCATTGATTTTATAAAATTTACCAAGTCTGTATATATTTAGTTGTTAAAGATTGCGTATTTAAATTTGCATAGAAAATTTGATGATAATTACAAAAATGTCATTGTATTTTTTTTTAATTATGATCAGAACCATCAAATTTTTACAGATGTAAGGCTTAGATTTGTTCTTAGTTTTCTCCTAGGGTGTGTTATCATGTGGTTAAATTTGAGCCACTGATCTTGCCTAAATCAACGTCCAGGATTAACAAAAAATAAATAAATAAATAAATAAATAACGCAGTGACAATTTGGTAATTTTTGCATTTAAGTCAAATTTAAGGTGCGTGGTTTTCCTTTTTAAGCTAGGTGTGTGATTTTCCTTCTTAAGGTGCGTGGTTTATGTGCTTATAGTGCGTCAGTGTTGAAACTTAAGGCGCGTGGCTTTCCTTCTTAAGGTGCATGATTTATATGCTTAAAGTGCGTCAATTGTTCAAACTTTATGGGCGCCATTTTAAAATTTTATAAGTGCGTGATTTGTGTTCTTAAGATGCGCATTTTTGAGTTAATTGCAAAACTCACACGAGAAACTATACCCGCCCCTGAACCTTTCCATATATATATATATATATATATATATATATATATACACACACACACACACACACACACACACACACACACACACACACACACACACACACACACATATATATATATATATATATATATATATATATATATATATATATATATATATATATATATAGTGAAAGGTTCCCGTGCGAATGTGCGTTGAATTAATGTGCGTGAGATTTGTACTCAATGTGCGTGAGTGTTGTGCTTAATGTGCCTGAGATTTGTACTTAATGTGCGTGAATGTGTAAAATGCAGCAGAAAATATTGATGTCAGCTTCTTCCCCATCCCCAGTAGCCATTTGCCCCTCCTTGATGATGATGATGCAGAGGCGAGCTATGGAGGTTAAGAATTATGGGAATAATACAACAGAAATCCACACTTTGCTGCTGTGAAAATTTTACTGAGCGTGCGTTATTTATATAAACATTCAACTGCATTGAAGGTAGCTGATAACCCAGAATCCATGGCCAAATTGAAGGAAGAAGTAACAAGAAGCTTGGGCGTTAATGTACGTGAGTTTCTGTTCTGCTTCCTTCTGAGCTCGTAATTCTGAAATACGCACGCACATTAAGCACAAATCTCACGCACATTAAACACAATACTCAGGCACATTAAGTACAAAACTCACGTATATTAACATGACGCACATTAAGTACAAATCTCAGGCACATTGAGTACAAATCTCACGCACATTAAGTATAAACCTCACGCACATTAATCCACCGCACATCCGCACGGGAAGCAACAAATGCACCTGATCCCTTCCCTATATATATATATATATATATATATATATATATATATATATATATATATATATATAAACTAATGAATTAAATATTATCGTGTAGCGTACAAGTGCAGGCGTATCTATGAAAAGAAATTCCTGAAGAGTCGAGATTGTTATGCAAAGATCCCTGAAATTTTGAGGGGGCGGGGTGTGAATCTGGACACCAAAAACAAAAATAAAAAATTCCCAATATTGTTTCCTTGGCATAGAAGGCGTCAGGTGCCAAATTCAATCTCTAAAAAGAGTAGTTTACACGAAATTCTCTGTGAAGAAAACAGTGGACTTTACAATAATGTTTATCACATCCAACTAAACTTACATTACACACTTCTTACCTAACATTTATCTCTTATTTTGCTAATAATTTATATGTAGTTTTTGGTATCAATTTCCAAAAGTTTCTTATCTTTTCATTATTTGAATTTTTTTATTTGTTTTTAACAATTCGCCGTGTGTGGAAACACATCTTGTAAATTTTGAGCAGGACTCAAATCTCAAAAACAGGTTTTGCAAAATTTATTACTCTGTACTATTTGACTAAAAGTAATATTGATAAGTAATAACTAATATTTTTTTTAATTAAAAACTATTATCAAGAAATAATATATTTTTTTGAAATACTCATAATTTTTTACATTATAGGATTTGTTCTATACTGTTTCAAACATTTACCGTCCAAAGAATGTAAACCCCACCACCACCGGAATTCAAACATATGACCACTCATTTGTAATGGTAACCGAGATGTCATCACATACACTATATATTAGTTGGCAAAAAATAGTGTATATATATATATATATATATATATATATATATATATATATATATATATATATATATATATATATATATATATATATATATATATATATATATATAGGGTTGCATTCAAATACAAACACCCTTAAAATACAAACTTCCCTTAAAATACAAACTTGAACTCGTGCACACATTAACATACTTACATGCACACAGGGCGCACTGCCAACAAATTTTGGGATTAGGTCGTGCACACATTAACATACTTACATGCACACAGCGTGCAGGAAGAAAAATCACAATCATCCATCAAAGCTCGTGCACACATTAACATACTTGCATGCGCACAGCGCGTAGGAGGAAAAATATCACAATCATCTATCAAAGTCCGTGCACACATTAACATACTTATATGCACACTGGGCACACTGTCAACAATATCTGAATTAGCTCGTGCACACATTAACATACTTACATTCACACAGTTTGTATTTTAAGGGAGGTTTGTATTTTAAGGGGGGTTTGTATTTAAAAATAATCCTATATATATATATATATATATATATATATATATATATATATATATATATATATATATATATATATATATATATATAATAGATTTAAAGTAAGAATTATTATTTATCAACAAAAAAGCTAATAATTTAAAACTTATTACTATTTCTTTTTAATTCAAAAGTAAATACTTGTCAAGAAGAATCACACAACAAATTTAAATGAAAAATAATCAGTTTCCAATCAAAATGTCTAAAAACTATTATTTTTTATTTAAAAAATAGACACTTATCAAATAAAACACATACATTTAAAGTAAAAACTTATTAAAAAATATACACTTGTCAAATAACAACACATACATTTAAAGTAAAAACTTATCAATCAAAAAGTAATACTTTTAAATTAAAACTTATCACTCTTATTTCAAAAGATTATACTTTTGAAAACTATACATGTTTTTATTTTTTAAAGCCCAAACCCAATTTTAAATCTGTTTCACATAACTTTGTTTTAATTACTAATAAATGGAATGTGTTAAAACTTAATTAATGTGAACCAAGATTTTTTCATCAACATTTTTATCGTCTAATTAATATGTCTTTACATACTTGATTCACAATATAATGAAGCCAATTGCCAAGCACCTTGTGCTTAGATGACACCTCTGTGGTTCTCTTGATAAAAGGTCACATGATCAAACCCCGGTGATAGGATATTAATTCTTTGGACTGCAGTACTTTTGAGAAAGTATAAAACATATATTACCTTCTAATATAGTCAATAGTATTTAAAATATATATATATATATATATATATATATATATATATATATAATGAAGCCAATTACTTCACACATACTCCGTAACTATTTTGTACAAAACAATTGTGATGCACATCGTGTGCCACATCATTAGGAAAATATATGATAATTTTTTTTACGTGTACAAATAGCACTTTCTACACTTTATTATATATATTTTTTTCTTTTGGTGTATAGAACTTAATAGGTTTATAGAAAAATAAGATTATATATTTGTAAGTTGATAAACTAATGTAATAATTTGTAAATTACGACACATGTGAGGTAAACTGCACTAGTAAAATTCTGTATTATAGGTTAATTGAAAGAATGTTGATAATCATTGAATTCATAATCTAAAAGTATAAGAATCATGTTCACTCACTCGTCTACCTAGAGTATTAATTTTAAATCTTGACACAAACATATGTCAGTTTAAAAAAAATAATAATAATAATAAAGAATGTCGTAATGTGTAAGTTAAAACTTAATTACACTAAAAATGTTAATATTAAAATCTTTTTTTTTTAAAGTTAATATTAAAATCTAATTATAAGAAATTGAAAGTTTAAAATTCTAATTTTACTTTTTTAAATTGATATATCAACATATACTTTCGTTAAAACCAAGTGGCTTGTGGTTCACTGGTATCGGATTGCTTCTTTATGTGGGAGGTTTAGATTTTGAGCCTCAGTGTAGGCATAGATTGTATGGGTATTCCCCTTCCCTTTGTAAAAAAAAAATATACTTTCGTTAAAAGTAAAAAAGAAAAAAAAATAAAACTTTTATTTTGGTGGTGAGGGAAACTTGCAGATCACACACTACTCAGAGTGTGTACATAATAAACTTCCAAAAGATACATTTTATTATTAATGGAATCTAAAAGATGTATGTCAAATCACGTAACTTACTACAGTTAGTCCGAAAAACCGAGCAAGATCAGTGGATCAATTAATAAAAGTTGCTAAATTTTGGGAAGTGACTGAATACATGTTTTGCCAATGCAAACCATGAAACTTAGAATTATAATTGAACTGAATTTATAACTCTAAGAAATTGTGATAAAATCATTATCTAATGGGTCGAAGGATTTATTGACATAAAACTTGCCTGTGGGCTAAAGTTTTAATTCTATTAAATCCAATTAAGAAACCCTTATGATAATATTTTTCACAATTACTAAAGAGCCAGAAGAATCTAGTGACATAAAACTTGCCTGTGGGCTAAAGTTTTACTCAATTAGATCCAACTGAAAAATTTATTTATGACGAAATTAAACCATTATCAAATGAGCTGAAGAATCAAATGACATAAAACTTGCCTGTAGGCTAAAGTTTTATTTCAATAAGATTCATTGCTATCATTATGATAAAAAACTTAAGAGATCATGTTCCTTTTCTTAATCCCTGTGGGCAAATTAAGAAATATGACCTAAATTTACATCATAAAATTAAACTTCATGATAGAATTGGAAATTATTTACAAATAACCATAAAGTAAATAAATTGATTTATTTCTATCGTTACTGATAAAACTACTAAACTACATTCCGATACATAATTGCCTGTGGGCTAAATTATGACCGTAGTCCAGTATTTCATCCTGATTAATTATACAAATATAACGAAATTGCCTGTGGGCTAAATTCCATCATATTACGTACAATTAATCACAAATGATATGTCCAAAACTTTATGTGATCAAAATAAACCGCTTAATATATAATTTTAACAGATTAAGGATGTTGTGGCTACTCCAAAATCAAATTAAAATTATAAGATCACTAGACAATTATCAAATTCTTGCCTAAACTTTATGTGATTAAAACTTAATAATCTTAGGTAGCTGAATATGCTGTAGCATTTCCTTAATTAACCAAGATTGAAAACTCAAGATATTTCAGTAAATTAAAAATGCTTTGGCTATTCTTTAATAAACCGAAATAAAATCACATTGGCAATGAATACTTAAAAATTTGACAAACAGATTATACCAAATTGTGATGGGAAAAACTGAATATACTCAAGGAAAGGTGGTTAGAGACTAAGTCTCACTGAAAACCAATTCCTTAAATAGAGTATCAATTTAAGGAGACTAGTGGCACAAGACGTTCTTAAGTCATGGCCATTAAAAATAGTATGTATCCCCGATTCATATATACTTAATGTATAACTGTTTGGGGGTATGAACCTAAAACTGTAGGGTATACACCAAAAAACTGTATGGTTCACCTATGATTAAAGCTTAAATGGTGAACTAAATTAGCGGACTAAACGTGCTTAAATTCAGGCACTACCGCGACTAAAGTTTATGCATAAGTCCAACTTAAATAGGAACTAATATAATTCCATCTCAAAGTATGCATTGCTAAAGGCATAATAAAATTGCATAATTTAAAACATAATATTATGCTTAGGACAAATATGCATAAAATTAAACATTAAACTCATATACTCCAAAGAAATTGCATAACTTAAAGCAATTTACAATATGAGATTTTAAAGTATAAACTTAATATTCAAACACCGATGAGTCCAAACCAAAAGAGACCCAACATTTTGAATAATAATGTATTGAATATATACTTTAAAAAATTTTTAAACTGTAAGCCCATGGGAAAATGTTTTAATGCATAAAGATCAAATTCATGAGAAATAACTGAATTTACAATTTCAAACAATATCAAACCAAAAGGATATGCTATCATTTGTAAAGCAAAATCTCACAAACCCTAATTGCATAATTAAACTTAATATTATGCACTTAATGTGATCGAATGCATAAAACAATCTAAGGAGTATGAACCAACTAAAGAATATGAATTTAAACAAAATATTCATTGATTCATACTTAACCAAATATGGACAGTCATAATTCAAAGAACTAGATGAATTATGGAATTAATGGCAAAAGTCAAATGCCTAGAAAATATGTTTTTCCAACATTACTAAATTGATTCAAAATCACTCTCCATAACTCAGTTAATAATAATATTATTATTATTAATGGCAAAATTGCAAATAATCAAAATAGCAATAAATAGCCATAATAATATTATCACATTAAGTAGGAGACTAAATATGAAAAAACAATGGTTAAAACCGCTAACATTTATAAACGTTTTCGTATAAAATTTTAAAAACTGGATAAAATTTGAAGTCCGAAAAATATTAATGTCCAGAAAATTATTTTCTGAACTGGAGTATTGTCACATAAATTTATTTGGAAACAGTTCAAGGTGCATAACTGAATACCACAACAATATTAATGTCATCATTAATTAACTAATTATTAATAGCAATAAATAACATTATAATCACTATTAACATTAACAACAACGACAAACTAAATTATGGTAATGCGCCTTCAAATGTTTCCATTTTTCTAAAGATAAAATATGTGACTAGTCCAAATTAGCGATTAACCATAACTGTAGCACTAATTATCAATAATAACCATAAAATATAATTAATGACTAACCTTAATGATGCAAACCGCATCTGCCCATTGCGCTAACAACGATCCAGAATTCTCCCATCTTCACTGTCGGTGTCGCTAGCCTCGATGCAGCGTCCAATGGTACATTTAAAAATTTATTGGTAGGATTTAATTACCAACATTAATATAATAGTCATGTAAAATGAAGTGGTAATCATGCCAATGTACCAAATATAGCAGATTACCATGAAATAATAATTATTATGGAAGGTAATAAAATGAAATTAGTCCCTAAATTTAATAACAGTAATTAATAATGCCAATTAATAATAACTACAATAAAGGCAAAACTGTAATTAAGGGATGCCAAATACTAATCTCAATTTACCACATAATAATTAACCATGACTATTATGATACTTAGGGAGACTGAAGTTAGGTAATAACCAAATTACCATTATATAGACAATATACCAACTATATTGCTTTTGCCATAAAATTAAAGACTTAATATTATTATTAAGGCCCTGAAAAACTATTGATAGATTAAAAATTAATCAACTTAAACAATAGTTTGTAATTCTTAATGGCCAAAATAACAATTAAATCATTAATCCTTAATGTCTCAAAATAGATCAAGACAATAATTATAGCACTTAATTACTCAAATTAGGCTCATAAACCTCAATGGCCTAAGTGAATTATAACATGAATGATAAATGGTCTAGTACTGAAGTAGACCCAAACTTAATATTATTACCAACGATTAATACCAAAATATGGTAGTTAGTAATAATTAAAACTTAATAAACATGTTATAAGGAGCTATAATTATTATTAAAATATCAATCAAAATGGTGGGATCCATACTTTAATGACACAAGATAGGTCCCAAATAGCTTGTTCAAAATAGGTTCTAAAGTTTTTGAGACACATAAACTAAAATGTGCTCAAAATTAAGGAGAAACCAAACAAGCTGCTTTAGTAGGTCATAATACCTAAAATTGACCTAAGGATCCAAAATTGAATGATATTTAATAATGAATTTATGAATTAATAATATGCTATATCCAATCTTAACGCATGCTTTTATAAATGTATAATTATAATAATAAAATAATTATTTAATAAATATACGTAGCATGCTTGGATTTGCATATTAATGTATTATTAACCCATATATCCTAAGTAAATTGCAATACTTCAAGGCAATTTAATATAAACCTCAACATTAAATTAAAATTCAAATAGCAAATTTAAAACTTAATATTTGCCCAAAATTGAATGATAATTTAATTATGAATCTAATGCCAAAATTAAATGAAAACTAAAGGGCATTAAAATTTCAAATTAAGCAATTACTATATATTTACCATTTGCCAAAATAATTTACAATATTAATTAAGATAATATTAATATGGCAATATTAAACCAAATAATCACCATTACCAAAATTAATATATATATATATATATATATATATATATATATATATATATATATATATATATATATATATATATATAAATATATAATTATTAAATTAGGCAAATATTAATATATGGTAAAATAAAGGTAATTGCATTTGAATAGGAAATTAAGAGTACCAGAAGATTGCAATCATATTCTAGCTCTGTTCCGTTTTCTCCGGCCTCTTGGTGAAAAACAGAAAATAATAAATCTAGCAATGTTAATTTCCAAAATTCACGACATATAATCTCAGAACCCAAAAGAAATTAAAATCGTGTTTATTAATGCTGGAAATAATTTTCAACCGTCCAAAATCATATACAAAATAGAATGTATATGAAAATTAACTTAATATTGTTTTATCTGTAGATGCCGATTACTTCCCAGTAGCAGCCCCGGAGAAACAATAAATCGGAGACTTAAAACGGATAATAAATCCAAAAATTCAGGCAAGCAGTAGGCAATTTTAGATTCAATAATTTTGAAAAAACAAAACAAAATTAATGCTTAAGGTTGAAAAACAATTTCAACGTCCCTTACATAATTCTTCTGAAATATACACAAATTATTATATCAAAAACCAAATAGATATATGCATATTTCGAAGAATTAATATATACAGAATATATACCAAAACTCAATGTATATAAAACAAATTAATTGTTGATTTTAGGCATAATAATCAACCAGGCAGAGATTATAAAAGGCTCTAATACCAAATGTTAGATATACAATAGTCTAACTATAATGAATAATAGTATACGAGAAACCTGACCTCGTATGACAGCGGAAGCGTAGCCATGTAGATCTCCAGCCATAGTTGATGTTCCTGTTGTGTTGCCTCTTAACGGTAGACCGTCAGCCATGTTTTGCCTCAGACCTGACTCAGAACCCTAGATGGCGTATTGGTGTCTACTGAGCGGTCTGAGTACCGTAACTGAATGTGCTATCTAATCCATAATCCTGTATCCCATCAATCCAGGTTATATTAGGCACAGAGTTTGGTTGACTAACAACTACTAGTTATTAAGTCCAACCAGACCACTTAATAAGCCTAGTCAACTTGCACCACTTAATTAAGGCCCTAATATATAATATATAATATATATTATTAGGGAAAATCTTACAGTAATGTGTAAGTTAAAACTTAATTACACTAAAAATGTTAATATTAAAATCTTTTTTTTTTTAAAGTTAATATTAAAATCTAATTATAAGAAATTGAAAGTTTAAAATTCTAATTTTACTTTTTTTAAATTGATATATCAACATATACTTTCGTTAAAAGTAAAAAAGAAAAAAAAATAAAACTTTTATTTTGGTGGTGAGGGAAACTTGCAGATCACACACTACTCAGAGTGTGTACATAATAAACTTCCACTTTTATATAAGTAAACATATTTGGTCATTGCATTCAAAAAAAAAAAAAAAACATTTTGAGTTTTATTTATATATACTCTCAAATTTTATTCCCTAATGTAACAAACAAATATAGGCTATTATCATCATGTAAGTCTCCAAAAAAGTGTTCATATAAAAAATTTGAAAATGAGAGTAAAAAAATATAAGAGTCTACATAATATTTTCTTATCAAATATGCTCTATGGAGCACATTGCAGCAAACCACACGAAAAAAAATAAAATAAAATTTCACTGACTTATAAAGAATATAATATATACTATTTTGTAAAGAATTATGAGTTAAAAAAAAAAAAAGTTAATAGTAAAAAGTAGTGCAGATGTATTCTTATTTATCTGCAAGTTTTAAACACATTTTTTGAATGGCTGTACTGTTGAACAACAATGCTACTCCGATCCGTATTATATTTGTCTTCCCATCAAAGACCTATGTACGAACGGATAAGGTTTTGTGACATTAACGATAAATTAAAGCGGCAGTCAGCTATGATTATGGAAATTCGCGATTTGACAATCTTTTTGATAGTGATTTTAGGATAGAAAAATATAATAAAATTATATTAATATATTATTCAATTATAAACTAATACCCAATATGGAAATTAAAATAAGTAAATAATTAATATAACTTTTAAATATAAAAGTTAATTAATATAAATTAAAATTGATTATTTTCAATATAGAATTAGGTTCTGGTGCGATTGGTGCGCCTAGGTGCAGTTGTGCGATTAAATCTGGGTCATTGATCTTGCTTAAATCAACATTCAAGAATACCAAAATTAAAAAAAAAAAAATCGTGGTGGCAATTTGGTAATTTTTGAATCTAGATCAAATTTAAGATGTGTGGGTTTTGTGCTTAAAGTGCGTGGGTTTTGTGCTTAAGGTGCATGAGATTTGTACTTAAAGTATGTGGGTTTTGTGCTTAAGGGCCGTGGGTTGTTGTGCTTAATGTGAGTAGTTGTTGAAAATTAAGGTGCGTGAGTTTTGTGCTTAAGGTGCGTGGATTCTGTGCTTAATGTGAGTAGTCGTTGAAACTTAAGGATTGTGGTTTTTCTTCTTAAGTTGTGTTGTTTTCCTTCTTAAGGTACGTGATTTGTATGTTTAAGGTACGTCAGTTAATTATGTGAAACTTAAGGTGAACCATTTTAAAAGCTTAGGAGCGTGATTTGTGTTCTTAAGGTGCTTTGTTGTGTGCTTAAGGTGCGTAGTTTGTGTACTTAAGGTGAGTGATTGTGTTCTTAAGGTGCTTTGTTTGTGTGCTTAAGGTGCGTGGGTTGCATGTGTACTTAAGATGCGACAGGTTAATGCTTAAGGTGCATCAACCGCACGGGTGAAAGTAGTGGTAAATATGAGTATTGTTAGAGATAGTTAAGATCAAAAATTGAAATCATGTCCTAACAATTTTCATATTAAAATAAATTAAATATTTTAATGTGATTTTAATAATCATTGATTAGTTTCTAAAACTTAAACTTATTTTTTTATTGAAAGATGACATGCTTATAATAGATTTACTAATGTTGTCCATAAGTAATTAAAGAGTTATGCAATGAAGTTATAAAGCAAAAATTTATATATATATTTTTTGTATATTATTAAGACATCAATTGTTGTTACGTTATATGTGAACTCTTCTTGTTACAAATTTTCATTGATATTTTGAAATATTAATTTTTTTTCTTTATAAGATTGATTATATAATGAAAATTTTTCATTTAAATTGTTAAACTGCAGAGAAATTTTTTTCGGCCAAACATAATATATTAACATGTAATAAAATGTATATTTTATGTGAAAAAATTTGAAAAAATGTGCTATAATGAATAATGTTTGATTTGAGTAAAAAGAAATTAATGTATTCTTAGGATGCTCACCTCTAGCATGACATTCATATTTTGTTAGGGTGATGATTCAAAAAATAATATCTTTCACATTTTTAATGATTAAAAGAAACAAATAAATTAAGAATATTATTATATTTTAATTTTTACCACAAAATGAGAAAATAATTGCAAAAAGAATATACAAAAAAAAAAAAAAAAAAAAAAAGAAAAAAGAAATATCAGGAATTCCTTTTGTGTACACTAATTTAATTGTTATAATAATAATAATAATAATATAAAAATAAAATTCCCATTATTATTATTAATTTATTATTATTATTATTATTATTATTATTATTATTATTATTAAAAGTTGAAAAATATTTTGTAATAAGTTAAGTCAAGAATAATAATAAATTAAAGGAATATTTTGTTATCAAAGTTTGTACATAAATGAAAAAATTAAAAAGAAAAAATGTTAAATTTAAAAACATTTTATCATTATATATAAGGAAAAATCAAAATATACAAGTTCAATAATATACATATTACATCAACACATTTTATGCTCCTATTAGAACATTAACTCAACATTATTGGATTAATGACCTATTGGCATCTCACTTATCATTTAATCATTTATCAATACACTACGTCTCTTCTCATAGGGCGTACCCTTGCACTCTAAGTTCAATATATGCTATTAAGATTACTACAAGTCATATAACTAGATAATATGCTATTCAATTAGTATTTTTAACTATAAAAAAAAAAAAACAATTAAAATCTTAATAAAGTTTGACCCATTGATTGAAAGGTATGAAGTGAGTAACATTTTTCAAGTCTCACTGTCACTCTCAAAACTCCCATAAGAAAAACTATACCATTGGCAGAGTGTAGAAAACGAATAAAAATCAACATAACTCCATAGAACATATATGGGTTGTGTTTGCAAGTTGGGGACTGTTGGAAATAGCATTCAAATAAGTGGAGTTGCCTTTACTTCTTGTTTCACATTTCTTAGAGTGTTTTTTCCACCTTTTAAATACTAATACTTTTACTCTTCTTAAAGTATTGTGGAGAGGAAGGAAAAGGAGAACCCAGAAGCACGTGTTGCCATAATATCCACTTGGGTTGCACGCGCGGTGTGGTGAGGTTATCTTTCCTCGACTTTTTCGCCACTAAACAGAAGAGTTGAGTATTTCAGAAGTTATAAATACCTAGCATCCCCTTCTCTCGTCTGAGCTTACAGCCAAGTTCGACTACGATTAATTGTTTCGGTTAGTCGTAGCATATATGTGTGCAACCAGTCAGAAGCGTACCAGATATAAAGACCGCACATTTTCCGAAAATCACTTTTAAGGTAGTGTTCTATACACTGCATGACACATATTTCCTCTTTCTTTCCTCCCATAAATCCAGCCTACATAAAAAGTAGTACGCACTACGACATTTTCTACTCAAATTTCCAACAGTTAAAAGCAATATATCCATAAAATGTCGACCTTTGTCTCCAAACCTGCATCTGAACTTGCCAAACTCGAACCACTTAACGGTTTCAATTACCGTCGGTGGTCCATCAAGATGATGAGTTACTTCGAAGCTGTACATTTTGGTTGTTGACCCTCTCAGCCCTATGGTCTTGTATGGCAAATTATGCTGTGCATCCGTATGCACCATGCATGGTGCATACGGATGCAAAAACGACGTCGTTTTGCATCAAAACGCGCATCCTACTTTAAAAAAAAAAAATCAGTTTCGATTCCCAGCAACAACATTATGTTGTTCATTTTTTAGTTCATTCATTCTGAATTTTTAGTTATGAAATTATGGATGTGTAGGTATGCAATTCTGGATTTATAGTTATGAAATTATGGATGTGTAATTATGCATGGTGTAGTTATGCAATTCTGGATTTTATAATTATGCAATTCTGGATTTTATAGTTATGCAATTCTGGATATATAGTTCTGAAGTTATGGATGTGTAGTTATGCAATTCTGGATTTATAGTTATGAAATTATGGATGTGTAGTTATGTAATTCTGGATATATAGTTATGAAATTATGGATGTATAGTTATGCAATTTTAATTTTTTTTTTTAAAGTTAGACGTCAAAACGACGTCGTTTTTACATCCGTATGCACCATGCACGGTGCATACGGATGCACAGCATAACGATTGTCATGTATGACTGTATGAGCCTGCTCCAACCAAGCCTACTGGATCTTCTCAACTTGAGAACGAAGTCACGATCCTAGATGACACTCCAGATCCAAAAACACCGTCATCCAATTCGTCCGACAAGTCCCAAGAAGTTCGTACCAAGTACGAAAGGGATAACAAATCTGTTTGTGGTACTCTGCTGCATCACATGTCTGATGGGTTATTAGACATATACGCGAAGGAAATATGCGATTTGTTGAAAAAGAAGTACGGAGCAGACGACGTAGGGCATAGGAAGTATGCAGTCGAGCGTTGGCATATTATAGAAGGGTATTTTTTACAATTTTTCCCTATAGTTAAATGATATGAAGTATTTTTATAATTTTTCAATTATAATATTGTTGTACTGTATTACGAATAGGAATTTTAATGTAGAATTGTAGTACGAATAGACAAGTAGGAAATGATATATTTTATTAGGAATTGTATTACACAATTTCACAATATTAGAATAGAATAGTAGGAAACAATATATTAAAATACGAATTGTATTACACTATTTTACAATATTACGCAAACCTTAATAGTATAAAACTATTTTGAACGATTAGTTAAAATAAAATTTTTTGTTTTTATTAATAGTATAGAAGTATAGATTTAATTCTCATCACAATTCTGATTCCAATATTTAAACCAAACACACCCATAGTTTCCTCTATAATTTCTATAATAATACTAAGAACAAAAATATTACAACTAATACAATACGACTTGATTACAAAAATATCTATCCTTCTATCTCACACACCAAAAGTTAAAAACTTGTATGCAACCATCTCATGAATCCTTGTCCGTGATACGGGTCGGGTCAAAATGAAAATAGAATACTTATATTAAAAAATACTAGAAATAAAGTACCTAAATAAGGGATACTTTATTCCTAATTAGTATTAAATTTTCAATATAAGTATTATATTTTTCAATTTCGACACAACCCATCTGACGAATAAAGATTCGTGAGACAGTCTTATAGGGGAATCACTCGAAAGAAAAAGGTTGGATCGGAGTTAGTATGGTGGCGACGCCGTGGTGGTGTGGGTCGAGGAGGAGGTGGCCGGAGAGTTGGAGTGCACGCGGCCGTCGTTGCTTTGGCTGCCCCTTTCATGGAAGCCGCACGCCCTTCTGTTCAACGCTGATGGACCTTGGAAGGCGGAGGAGGGTGGTAAGGATGCCACGGGTGCATATATCCCGTTAGAGGTGGTAGCTTCCTTTGATTCCGCCGGTGCCGGCGCCGCAGCCATGGCGGCGTATTCCGCCGGAGGCACCCATATCCCACCCACCACCACGAACTGTGGGGCTGCTTGTTGTTGGATGCTATTATTGCGGTTCGATGGACTTGGCCTTCTTGTATGCAACCGATATTTCTGTAACAACACAATAAGCCAAAATATTGAATTTCTTGAAATATATTAATTAAAATTGGAGAAATATTCTCTTACAGTATATGTTTTCAAGAAATTTATTTGGTACGTGACTACTTTCATATTCCATCTACACATATAAATGGACCAATTGGTAATGAATTATTGGTAAAAAAGAATCTTTCTAGATTGTACTCATATTCGGATATTCCTCCTATTCAAGATAATCCAATAATCTAGTGGGTGAGTGAGGATTTCTACCAAACAAAATGAAAAGAGAAATCTAGAATTTTGCAAACACACCTGTAAATGGCTTTTAACTTCATCATTTGTAAGTCCATCCACCTTCATCATTTCTCTAATTTGTTTAGGAGTAGCCGCTGCCGTGCACAATCATTATATTAAATCAAAGGATTAGCAATTCATCAAAAATAAAAAATAAAAAATTATCTACACGAATTTAACTTAGTGATTTAATAGACAATAACTAAGGTTCAAAACTCAACAGCAAAAACATTTAACCATGTTTGCTGAGTTACCTTAATTTATCTCATTTCAGATAGGTGCTCTTAGGTTGGGAATTTAACTTTTGAGAGAAGAAGAAATAAAAAATATTTTTTAAAGAGAAAAGAGTTAAATAAGTCCCTAAACTTTACACCAAAAAGTCAATTAGGCCTCTAAATTTTAAAAGAGTGCAATTAAACCATCAAACATGTCAAATTAGGTCAATAAAGTCCAAAAACCGATAAACGACCATATATTACAGGTCATTTCAATTCCGGCGACGAATTCCGGCCACCGGCGACAATTTCCGATCGTCTTCCACTAGAGAAGACGATCGAACGGCCGGATTTGTCGCCGGTGGCCGGAATCCGTTTGAAATGACCTGTTATTGAAATGATCTGTAATAACAGATTATTTACCGGTTTTTGAGTTTTATTGACCCAATTGAGGGTTTAATTGCACTTTTTTAAAATTTAGGGATCTAATTGACCTTTGGGGTAAAGTTTAGGGTGTATTTGATCTATTTCTCTTTTTTTTTTTTTTAAATTAAAATAATAAAATTAAATTTATTATATTATATACCGTGTGAGCCGCCAAGCTGTTGGAGGGCTTGCAAGAACCGCTTATGCAATTCCGGCGACCAGCACCGCCTTTGCTTTCTTTGAGACTCCTTATCTTCTTTCTTACTTCTGCCCGTCTCGGCGGTTGAGCTGGCGGCCGTTGGCGGTTGCGCCGCCGCAGCAGCACCGCTTTTTTCTTTCTTGAATGGTTGGAACGCTCCGCCACTCCCGTTTCTCTTCACCTCCTCCGGCGATTCCTGTAATCCCAATAAACAAACAAAATCCAATTAAATTATATGTGACAAAAGAATTTCTGAGAAAAATTTAAACTACAAATTAATTACCTCTTTAGGAGTTGGATCTGGGAATTGGTTCCAAAGCTGAACAGATCTAAGCCAGTCCGATTTTTCCGAATTATTATTATCATTGTTTTTGTTAACACAATCATCATGATCATCATCATCGTTATCGGATTTACGAGATTGTTCCTCGTAATCTTCGTCGTCGTCTTCCTGGGCGCTCTTCATCGGAATAAATTGTTCCAAAACCGGAGCGGCGCTAGTGGTCTGCTCCGAACACTCCGATTGGCCGTTGAGGTTATACTCCGTCGTCGTCCCCGACAACTGCTGCTTATACGACTCAATTGCTGTTCCAAACAACACAAAAATATAATACAATGATCGAAACCCCACCCCAGAAAACAAATTAAACTTTAAAAAATTCGTTTTCTGAGCTAACCTTGGGTGACGAGGTCGAGACAAAGAGGGAGTTCCCGGCGGAAGACCTGAATCTTGCGGCGCTCTTCCTCCAAAGCTTGGATGTAGTCCCGGCATTTCTGGGTTTTGTTGTCTGGGTAATTGATTAACATGGCGGATAGATGATTAAAGCTTGGTTTAGGTTGTTGGGTCCACTGGGTCTTGAGTTTTCTGTAGCGATAATGGAGTTTGGGGAGGGGATTAAAAAGGGAGGGATGGTTGCATAGAGAGATCCGGAATGGGAAATGGGAATAAGGGATCTATGGAGAATCAAGAAGGAAGAGTGATATTTCTTCCAAATACATATATAAAGAGAGAGAAAGTGCAGAGATGGAAAGTGGGTGGCGATGGGGCGGGGTCGGGGCGTCGCGTACGAAACGAATCTTGTGATGATGAATTTTCTTTTCTTTTTTTTTTTTTTTAATTTTTTTTAGTTAATTCTTTTTTCTTTTTTGAGTAATTTTTTTTTATTTTAAATTTATAGGTGATAGTTGAATTGTAATTTTTTTTTTTAAATATTTATTTTTGGTCCTAATATTATTGTGGTATGATTATTTTTGTTCCCCTATTAATAAAACAGTTTAAATTTGGTTAAATATAAAGATATTTCAGTCTTTAATTATAATTTTTTTTAAATATAAATTTAAAAGAATATAGCGAGTCAACTTACTTTATATAAAAAAGATCGAAATGTTCTTAAATTTAACGACATTTCAACGATTTTATTAATGTAAAATAAAAATACTCATGTCATAATAATATGGAGTATTAAATCTAAATAAAAATATTCTAATAAAAATAATTAAAAATAAACTATCACTTATAAATTTAGGGAGAAAAATGAATTAAATTTTTTTTTTTATTTTTTTGTTTTCTTTTGGGAGGGATGGGGGATGGGGGTGAATATTCGAGGGACTGATTCTCAGGATGTGGGCTGGCACTGACGCACCACATTGAGTTGAAGATAAGATTGATGACTTCTCATTCACTTGCAGCACATTTTATCCAAGGATAATGATAAGTTTACTTTTAGGTAACAAATTTTGTTGGGTGTGAAAACAATTCTCAATTACTATTTCAGAATATAAATACAGTTAATTCTTATGTAAAATGTAACAAAATTTCATTACATATTTTATTTTATTAACATAGTAAAACTAAAAATAAAAATTCTTATTTAATTTTGAAAAATTATTCATAATATGTTGCATTAGCATATTCTTGGTTTGACATAGTAAGTTATGAGTAACTTAGATTAATTTACTTCTTTGTGTTTCTTTATCGACTAGAATTATAAGATCGAATTTATCTAGTGCACACTTTTGAATAATAATTGCAGGTTTCACTAGTCAACTAAAAAAAAAGTAAAATACTAATCACTATTTAAAAGGCCAGTCCTTTAATTTTATAGATTTGGGCATTAAAAAAAAAAAAAATTCTTAAACCATATGCGGAGTTAACATAAATTTTCGTCACCAAATTTTAAATTCAATACATGAGTACAAACATGAGCGTATCTAAAATATCGTTAAGTGTGGGCGAAAACTTAAAAACTTTGAAAGGAAAAAATATATATTTATGATGAAATATAAAATGAGTTTAATAAATTAAAATATATATTAATATGATATTCATAAATATTTGTATTTTAATTATATTAATTTAATTTTAATACAATGATGCACAATTAAACTTCTAGATTACATTGATTAGATAGTTCATAAAAAGTAAATTTTCTTTTAAAATATTTTTCTTAATTAAATTATAAAACGTATTTCACATCTATTAGTTTATCAATTTAAATAATTATTTCTACACATAACACAATATAAATCTCACAATTAATATAAAAATAAAAAAATATTTTTCATAATTGAATTGCAAATCATATTCCACATCAATTAATTTATCAAATTTTTAAATAATTTTTAATACACATAACACAATATAAATCTCACAATTAATATAAAAATGAAAAAAATCACAATAATTAATGTGTAGTCCAAAAGTTTTGATCCTTGACCACCTAAATAACAAAGTATTTATTACCAACTAACCTACTTCAACCATTCAACCATAAATAATTTTTTTTATAAACAAATATATGTTATCTACATCTATTAAAACAACTATATATATATATATATATATATATATATATATATATATATATATATATATATATATATTGACGGTAAGTATGTTACCCGAAATATAATATGAGAATAATGAATTGTTATATTGCTAAGTGTTTAGTACAAAATATTGAGCGTGTGTCTTAGTACAGAGTATTGAACATGTCACCCCTCCTCATCTAAGAATCATCTACTTATACTGTATAATGGTAACGACTATAATAATAGGCAGTAATGGCCTTCTAATAAGTGCAACGACTCCCTTCCATAAGTGTAGGTCCCCTCAATAACTGCTCTTTGATGAGGCGGTACGTAACAGCTATCATAATGAGGAGCTGAGCCATTATCTCCTTGTCTTGAATGAGCGGGGTAGTAAATGACTTCAGCCGTTGGAGTTTTGCCCGCTGGGTTTCCACGCGGCGCCGTGTCAGGTGCCTGTTGATAACCCTGGTCGGGCGCTAGCACCATTACTCTGTCATCAACCCCCTACTCCCGAGTCAGCAGATGTGTTTGAGCTGGCTTGGGAGTAAAACTGAATCATTCTGACACTGTATAGAATTCTAGATAATATGATTTTATTTTCCAAATCATATATGATTTTTCTTTTAATGCTGGCCGAGACGGGCTTCGGCTTAGGCTGGCCAAGGTGCGCGCCTCGGCCAGCCTCGGCCGATCGTGGCAGCCTCTACCATGGCCGAGGTAGGTACAGACTTTGCTTTACCAGCCAACACACTCTTCTTTTTTTTTTTTTTGCCGAGGAACTCTTTGAAGACTCCATATTGAATTCCAGTCGTTGTTTCCCTTTGATTGTTGTGTAATTCTTTGAGAGTTTTGCTTGGAATTAAAGATGGCTTTGCAGAACATTGGTGCCGGCAATAGTGATGATGCCTTCTACAGGTATAAGATGCCCAGAATGATTACCAAGATAGAGGGTCGTGGTAATGGTATCAAGACCAATGTTGTCAACATGGTTGATATTGCAAAGACTTTGGCAAGACCAGCTTCCTATACTACTAAGTATTTTGGTTGTGAGCTTGGGGCTCAATCCAAATTTGATGAGAAGACTAGAACTTCACTTGTGAATGGAGCTCATGACACTGCCAAATTTGCTGGTATTCTTGATAACCACATTAAGAAGTATGTTCAGTGTTATGGTTGTGGGAACCCTGAAATAGGGATTATTATTACTAAAAGCCAAATGCTGCAACTCGTAGTTGTCCTATTTGGTTTCAAGTACATACACCTCAAAGAAAGTCATTGTTGAGCAGATTATGGAATTTGGCTAGATAATTATGCTTGTGGGAATGTTGGGATCGATCTAATTGATCTTTAGCTATTTGCTTATGACTTCTGGGAAATACATAAAAGAGTTACGAATTGATGAATTCTATACTGTCATAATAATAAATAAGTAAAATCTTAGTCGGATCACTTCTCTACACTCGTAGTCGGAGCAGGGACGCTACACCTACGCCGCCGCCGTCGGTGGTTCAAACATCGGCAATCAAGAGACGACTCCGTCTCCCGGACCTCTAACTCATGCGACTCCAGAAACTGTTCCGCAGGTGAATCAGGCGAGTCAGCAGCGAAGTTTCAGCATGGGGGAACTAGACAATCCTCTTCTTCTCAGCGTTAATGACAGCCACCACGGCTGTACTAGTCAGTCCACCGCTTCTAGGAAGCGCCAACTATGGAACTTGGCGTATCAGTATGCGGATTGCGTTGGAAGTTAAGAACAAGTGGTGCCTGGTTGATGGAAGCGTCGCACCACTTGGCAGGGATCATCCTCAGTATTTGATGCGGAGGAGATCTAATCTGATGATCTGTTCGTGGCTATTCAAGGCTGTGCATCCTTCAATTGCTCAGAGCATCATGCATCTCGACGAAGGGAGAGAGATCTGGGAGGATCTGAGAAGGAGGTTCTCTCATGTCGACGCACAACGCATATCAGTATTGCAGAATGAGATCTACAATGTGAAGCAAGGTCTCATGTCTGTCAGTGACTACTACACCAAAAGTAGAACCCTATGGGAAGAGATGAACACATTGAGGCCACTTCCCATTTGCAAATGTTGCAAATGCAATCCGAGATGAGCTTGCAATCTCGTCGATAAGGTTCGAAAAGAGAGAGATGTCGACCAGGTAATCCGTTTCCTGCAAGGGTTAAATGATGATTATGCAAGTCTGAAGTCTAACATTCTCATACTAGATCCTCTACCTGAGGTATATGCAGTCTATGTCATGGCAGAAAAACTGGAAAGGCAGATTGGTTTAAATAATTTGAGTCTAGGACATTTGGATCCTAATGTTTCTAATGCAGTGCAAAGCAACCAAGGTTCTGTGAATGGAGAGATCGTTGCAGCTACTCCGAACACCTATAATGGAAGGAAGAACAGTGCCATGAAGCCTAAGTGCACATATTGTGGGATGATAGGTCACATTGTGGATAAATGTTATAAAAAACATGGTTATCCCCCGGATGGGTGCCCGGATACAAATCCAAAGGGAAACAAGTTAATGCAGTGGCTAATGATGATATGAGAGATCTAGGGGTCACAACAGATCAACTGCAGAGAATAATCTCTGCTATCAAGTCTCAGAAACCAGCTTCAACCTCAGACACTACTGCTGCTATTTCTCTGAGGTCGAAATTTGAGGAGGTCCAAGCCACCAATGCAGGCAAGTGCTCCCTTTCCCACATTAACTCTCTTGCCTTATGCACATCCACTTGGATCATAGATTCTGGAGCTACAAACCACATTGTATGCTCTCTTGATGTCCTTGTCAACTATCACAAAGCCATTGGAGCTGTTGTGAATCTGCCTACCGGCCAATGCATTAATGTTGAGCATATAGGAGATGTCAAGTTAAATGATGACATATGGCTAAGGGAAGCTCTGCATATTCCCACATTCAAATTTAATATTATTTCAGTGAGTAAACTAATCCAAGATACATCTTATGAACTCACATTTATGGATGGACAGTGTCTGATTCAGAGGAATGGTTTGATGGCTGGTATAGCTAAGCAGGAAGGGGGGCTTTATGTGTTTAAGAAGGCAACTGACATGTTAAATAGAAACCTTGTTATGCAATGTAATGATGCAAAGATTTGGCACCAAAGAGTAGGACATTTCCCTATCAATAAACTCAATTTGTTTTCTGAAATTGATACTTCCAACAGTCATGACTTTGTTTGTGATGTTTGCTACATAGCAAAACAAAAGAGATCCTCTTTCCCTCTAAGTACCAGTACTTCTAATGCTTGCTTTGATCTCATACATGTTGATATTTGGGGCCCTTTCCCAATTTGTTCCTTAGGTGGACAAAGATATTTTCTTACCATTGTTGATGACTATTCAAGATACACATGGCTACACTTAATGAAAACAAAATCAGAAACAAGGCAGTTTATTCGACATTTCCATGCCTACGTTTGTACTCAGTTTGGTGCTATGATCAAAGTGATTCGCAGTGACAACGGACATGAGTTTAACATGGAAGAATTCTATTCAGAGAAAGGTATAATTCATCAGAGATCGTGTGTTAATACCCCCCAACAAAATGCCGTAGTGGAACGAAAGCATCAACATATATTAAATGTGGCAAGGTCTATCAGTTTTCAAGCCAAGCTCCCTCTTCAATTCTGGGGGCTATGCGTTATGTATGCAACCTTTCTCATTAATCGATTACCTTCTCCAGTGATAGAAGGGAATAATCCATATCAAAGGCTATTCAACAAAGTGCCAAATATTGAACAACTAAGGGTCTTTGGTTGTTTATGCTTCGCTGCCACCTTGTCCACAAACAGACACAAGATGGCTCCGAGGGGAATGAAATGTATCTTTGTGGGAATCCCAGCAGGCACCAAAGGCTATCTGCTGTATGATCTAGAGGATGGTTCTACGTTTATCTCCAGAGATGTCATATTTTATGAAAGGCAGTTTCCCATGTCTGCCTTCAACAACGCACAGCAAGCTGAGAAGTCACAGCCATCTCTGCCTTTGATCCCAACCTCTACGAATCTGGAATGTGACTTTGAGCATCAATCTGTCGAGCATTCGTCGAGCTCCAATCTTGACATTAAGCCAAGTCCTGCTGTCCAGTCATCACCAAGACTTGTTGATCAGTCTTCACCAAGCCTTGATGGCCAGCCACCAAGTTCTGAGCATCACAGTTCTCACACTCAGCCTAACAGTGAGACTAATGAATCACAGGAATTCGTCATTGCCAGAGTCCCACCCGAGCCTAATGAGCCACGACGACCTATCAGAACTCGACATGCTCCCAATAAGCTCCAAGATTATTATTGTGATGCCATCATGGGGAAGAGCTCATCTCCACACCACCTATCAAAAGTCATTTCGTATGATAGTCTCACCTTGCCTCACATGATGTTCTCCATGGCGGTTACCTCTGTTGATGAGCCTAGAACATACAACCAAGCTGTGAAACATGACTGTTGGAAAGAGGCAATGGCAGCTGAGATCAAAGCCTTGCAAGAGAATAACACTTGGGAGGTTGTTGACTTGCCTTCCGGGAAAATCCCAATTGGATGCAAGTGGGTTTACAAAGTTAAACTCAAAGCGGATGGTTCTATAGAACGTCACAAGGCGAGGCTAGTTGCAAAGGGTTTCTTCCAACAGCTGGGAATTGATTATGTCGAAACTTTTTCTCCAGTGGCACGGCTCACCACCATACGCACCTTTCTAGCAGTGGCTGCCTCACGAGACTGGGATGTTCACCAATTAGACATAAACAAGGCTTTCTTGCATGGAAGCCTAGATGAGGAAGTCTATATGGTTCTTCCACCGGGGTTTCAGAATGGAAAACCAGGACAAGCTTGTCGACTGCTTCGCTCCCTTTACGACTTAAAGCAAGCTAGCCGGCAATGGAACTTCCGGTTAACCAATGCCTTACTGAGCAGAGGCTTTCATCAATCTCAATCGGATCCCTCACTGTTTGTTAAATGCCAAGGAATGCATTTTATTGCCACATTAATATATGTTGACGACATCCTTGTTTCCAGTCCCAATCAGAATTTGATCCAATATCTTAAAGACTTCCTGGACAGCACTTTTAAGATCAAGGATCTAGGTGGCTTGGGATACTTCTTAGGAATCGAAGCTAACAGAAGCAATGAGGGGCTAAATCTGTGTCAAAGAAAGTATGCTATAGACATACTTACTGAAACTGGTTTTCTATCTTCTAAGCCGGTTAACACACCAATGGCACCAGGCCATCATCTACAGAAGGAAGGAGGCACACCATTGCCGGACGTTGATGGATATAGACGCCTTGTTGGACGTCTTTTGTATCTCACAACCACACGACCGGACATAACTTTTGCAGTACAGCAGCTCAGCCAATTCGTTGATAAGCCTACAACTGATCATTTGATTGTAGCACATCGGATTCTAAGATATATAAAAAAGGCTCCTGGCCAAGGTGTCTTTTATCCAAGAAATGGTGAGATGCAGCTCAACGTTTTCTCGGACTCCGATTGGGCTTCATGTCCAGAAACTCGAAAATCTGTTACCGGTTTTTGCATATTCCTTGGCAATGCTCCCATCTCCTGGAGAACTAAGAACCAGCCCATCGTTTCCCGTTCGTCCTCTGAGGCGGAGTACAGGGCTCTTGCTGCCACTGTCTGCGAGGTACAATGGCTCACGAACTTGCTTCATGATCTACAGGTTCTCTTGTCTAGACCTGCTGCTGTCTTTTGTGACAATAAATCTGCCATCGCCATTGGTGAAAACTATGTCTTCCACGAGCGCACGAAGCACATAGAAATCGATTGCCACATTGTCCATGAGAAAGTTAGCCAAGGCTTGATTAAACTTCTCTCGGTTTCCTCATCCAACCAAGTTGCGGATGGTTTTACGAAGGCTCTCCCTGTCTCTGTTTTTCAAATGTTTGTCTCTAAGCTGGGCACTCAGAATCTTCACGCTCCAGCTTACGGGGGGGGGGGGGGGGGTAATGGAGAGCAACACACCACCTGCTAATCTGGCTGATATCAGAAGCACGCATGGAGCTAACAAAAGGAAGAAAGGGCAGCAATGTAATTACGTTTCCTTTGACGGTTATAACCGCTTTTCCCCCCATCACCTTGTATATAAACATTAGCTGTCATTCTGTTCGTTATCTTCTTCAATTCAGTTGCTCACCTGATGAGATCAATAAAACAAAATTCCACTTCTTCTCTCGATTAAGCTCTCTACTTCCAATTCAAATAAATAGAGAAGGCTGATTTCTAGATATTTAATGAAAATATACTGTTGTTACTCCCTAGCTGACTCCGTTACTCCCTCAGCTCATGAGTAGGGGAGCTGGTGACAGGATAATTAGGACATGGTATTGGATCGGACCCGGTGCACTTGGTCCAACCCGTGAAAGCAATAATGATAGTAACGGTCAAGTGGAACAGTTACAAGAAGCCACACACTAAGCACAACCTCATCAAATAAAGGAGTTATGGATGTCCAGCGCGCTTATGGATGAGGACGCCTCAGTTAATTAGGAGGCCGTTGATAATTATTGTAACCGTTACTAATTTGTAGTATAAAGGTTGACCCCGTGTAACAAGAGGAGACACGCTCAATATTCTATACTGAAACTATAGGCAATACAATTGATCTAATTCTTTTCCAATATACTCTGGTTATATATTTACCGTCATATATATATATATATATATATATATATATATATATATATATATATATATATATATATAATTTATTTATTTATTTATGGGCCTAGTAAGCAATTAAAATCCCTCATAATATCAACGTAACTAAGGGGCAAATCTGTCCAAATAAAATTTCAAACTCCTACCAAAATAGGTAAGTTAACAATAAAATAAAAATTTATATGTATTAAATCCTATCGTTTAAATAGTAAAGTATTTATATTATTATTTATTATTAAATATAAGAAAATTTGATTGTTTTGTTAATGTCTGGTGCTTTAATTAAACACATGGAGCAGAAGACAGCAGAACGAGGTGTTTTGTTGTGCTCTGGGCGACTGTGTGCACTCATGCACAACATCTTATGCACTGATGAATGTCGCGCGAAATTCTGAGCACAGTTCTATATTTTCTTATGTACACTTATACAATGCACACATACACATCATGCACCGTACCACTACTAGCATTAAGGAAAAAACGGATAAAAATTCAGTTGATTCACATATCTGACTAGTGCAAAAATACATCATTAGATGCAAACAACACTAAAAACAAATGCACGCGTATATGTACTATAGTGCGCACACGGCACATTTATACATTACATTATGCACACCTTGAAATTGCATTGTGCACACGTTTCACGTTGAAATGCACACATACACATCATACAGCAGCACCACCACCACCACCACCACCACTAGCAAGGACAACAAGAATAAAAAATCTCAGTTGATTCACATTTCTGACTAGTGCATAAACATATCATTAGATGCAAACCACAATGCACAAACATATGTACTATAGTGCACAAATGCCAACTTTACAATGCACAATCACTTCACATGAACACAAAGTGCGCACTAGCCCATGACGAGGTGCATACATAAGACGAAAACTCAACAACAAGTACGATAGTGCAAATACACACCTACGAAGGTCAGAGTGAACACAGTACATTGCCCTTGAAAACTACACATATACCAATTACAAATATAGACAATATTATACTCAAATAATAGACAATTAAAAAAACACAACAATAAACTTGAGTCCATGACTTAATAAAGGAAACCTAGAAGAAGAAAAATCCAAAGCAAGATTGAAAAAGAACTCGACATGAAGAAGAGTGAATCATCAAGGAAATTTAATTTTACCATAAATACATTCCTCAAAATCAAACATAACAACCAAATAAAATAATATACATATTTAAAACAAAGCGTAAATACCACATATTACCCCTCCAAAAATATTAAAATAAAAAAATAAAATATGAAATTCGTGGCCTATTGCCAAGATTCTAACTACTTAAAAATGATCTACGAATTAATTAAATCGTTAAGTAATGAACTCGGTGAAGCGCTTAAAGTTTCCTAAATGAACACTCACTGAACTAGTTCCAAAACTATCAGAATATAACAATTTGCACAATTAAAAGGCACGTAATCAAAGAAAGCAGTAAAGAACATTCATGATTTGGGGGGGGGGGGGGGGGGGGGGGCATCACTGCTCAATTCACCATTAAACTTAGAAAAGAGATTCAACGAATCAACAAGAAGAGTGCAAAAGAACTCAATTGACAACTGCTAAGGACTTAGCTAGATTGAGGAGTTCTCGGTTTGGTGAACTAGCTTGCGATCTCCCGATCTTCATAATTCAGGATCCCCCTCAATTGCAGGTTACTTTGATTCCCGGCAATTCCGTGTGGATTATCCGCCCATGATCAATAAAGGTTGATGTAATTGACTTGATATGATTTCTAATTAGTTCCAATGAAAATGAAAGTCCTCATTTTAGCTTGAAAAGATTTCTAAGTGTATAAGCTTCTCTCTGTATAAATACTCGACCCATCAATGAAGGAGAATAAGATGGCCTTTATATAGTTGAACTCCGTAAATTGCTCTGAAGCTGTAACTACTTTGAACTAGTATTTGAACAATCTTTGAACTGGTTCTATCTTCATTCTTGCAGAGAGGTGATCTACTTCCTACTATTACGAACACTAGTTCATATTCAAGTTAATTACTGAAATGGTCCCTTGACTTTAGCGAAATTACCAATTTGGTCCTTGACTATTTTTTTGATCAATTAAGTCCCTCAACTTTAAAAATCTTAACCAATTTAGTGCTCTATTTGTTTGACCGTTAGTCAACCGTTAACTTGGGACCAAATTGGTAATTCGCTATAGTCAAGGGACCATTTTGGTAATTAACTTTAAGGGTGGGCAATTCGGTTCAGTTTTCTTGAAACGAACCGTACCAAACTAGTTAGATTCGGTAATATACCGAACAACCAAACGGTAATAGATTCTTGTATACCGAACGGTTCGGTAAAAACTCGAACCGAATTGAATTGTTCGGTAAAAATAGAACCGAACCGAATACCGTTTGAACTTTGGATTGCTATTTTGTTATATATTAGACTTTGGATATGGACTATGTAAACACCATAACACATAATATAGAACTTTTGATAACAAACCATAAAGAAATTAAATAAAACATTTACGAGAGATACCCATGAGAATATGAGCTGAACGGCAGAGCAAGCAACAAGGGACTTGGATTTACTTTTATTTATTTATTTATTTATTTATTTATTATTATTATTATTATTATTATTATTATTATTATTATTATTATTATTATTATTATAGTTTTTAAAAAATCAAACTGTATTCGGTTCAGTTCAATTTTTTACCGAACAATTCGAATCGATTTTTTATCGAACCGTTCGGTATACAAGAATTTAATACCGTTCGGTTGTTCGGTATATTATCGAACCAAACTAGTTCGGTTCGGTTCGAGAAAACTAAACCGAATTGCCCACCCCTAAAGTTAATTACCAAAATAGTCCCTTGACTATAGCGAAATTACCAATTTGGTCCCAAGTTAACGGTTGACTAACGGTCAAACAAAAGGAGGACCGTTAGTCAACCGTTAACTTGGGACCAAATTGGTAATTTCGCTATAGTCAAGAGACCATTTCGGTAATTAAGTCTTCAGATTCTGACTTACTTCATACAATGATTGAACTAAATGTTGAACAACTGTTTTGTTCCATAAAACTTTAACAATATAGAGGAGTAAAAAGAATATCTTCATAACATATTTTTGTAATAATCATTTTATTAACAAAATAAAAACAAACAAACAAAAAAAAATCACAGCTACACACATCCACTAAATGGAGAATCCAAATTTGTCCATAATTTCTATGTGGGAGGGTGATATCATATGAACGCGAATACACTCACACACACATTAAATTAAAAGAGATATTCATAATCATATTAATTAATTTGACAATAATACCTCTAAATTTAACACTCATTTAAAAGAAATCTTAACGGAAGACTATTTGTGGTAAAAAATAAAAGTTAAGATACGTGTTTTGATTTAATTAAAAGTTGATGATTAAAAAAAGTACTAGTCCAATAGTCAGAGGATCATTTGTGATATTAAATCAAGTGCGATTATAGTTGAGTGCAAGATTTTCATTGACTTGGGATAATTATGATATTGGACTAGAGTACTAATGGAATGAGGAACCGGAGCCAGGCCTTAGGCGCAATGTAATCTAGTTCGGGTCAATCGGGTGTATGGAAAATAATGTAGTCCTAATTTGCATTAGAAGAAACTGGCCAATTATTGTATGGACCATGGTCCACATAATGTTATGTGGAGCATAACAAAAAGTACATTTTTAATATACTAAATGTACATTATTTTTGTACTGAATGTACATTATACAATATAATGTACACTCAGAACAAAAATAATGTATATCCCCTGTATATAATATACATTATTTTTGTACTGAATGTACATTATTTTATAATAAACAAAATATGGTCCACACAACTTGTGTGAACAATGGTCCACACAATAATGATTGGAATAAACTAATAAGGAAGACTTGAGTGAGGCATAGATATCCCAGTCCAATTCATATTGCGTTTTAGATTATAGGTTCAGGCCCGGCCTCTACCATGGCCCAATGCTAGAAGGGACTCACTAGTCTGTTTTGTTGTTGTTGTTGTTGTTTTTTTTTTTTTTTTTTTTTTTTTTTTTTTTTTTTTTTTTAATGAAGTTTTTAAAAAATATTTTACATAAGTAAAATTTCAAATGGATGATCTTAAATATCCTATTTAATATTGCTTCCACCTAACTATTACAATCCTTTAAAATAAAAAAAAATAATAATTCAATTAATACATATATATGGAGAACATTAAATAAGTTTATTAATAAACATCATAGAGAGGCTCAATACTTAAAAGATAGGAATGTCAAAATGGATCGAAACCTATAAGCTGGCTCACACTTGCCTTGCTATGGGATGAGTTAAAGGCCACAAAAAATATGGACTGCGAAAATGTGGGTCTAACGGACCTGGCCGCTTCAACCTGTGAACCTGGTTCGCTGCAAGGCAAATTATTGTGTAGACAATGGTACACATAGCTATGTGGACCACGGTTCAAAACGACGTTTTTTTGAAAAAAAAAAAAATATTGTTCTGCACGCGTGTTAGAATAATGAACAATCTGAAAAAAAAATAATGACCAATCTAGAGTAGGATAATCTATTTTATGAGTTAGAATAATGTACTTGATGTGTTAAAATAATGTATTTTATGAGTCAGAGTGATGTATAATGTACTTTATGTCTTAGAATAATGAAATTTCTGGAATAAAATAATATATTTTATGAGTTAAAATAATGTACTTTATGTGTTAGAAAAATGTATTTTATGTAATTTTGAACCTTGGTCCAAACAATTAAATGTGTTAACCACAGTCCACACAATAATGATTGTCAGTGCAACCAGCGGGCCTGATTTAAATTACAAACAAATAATTTAACGTTAGAATAGTCATAGTAAATACCAATAGTTATACGGTGGACCATGGTCCACACTGCAGTGTGGACCATGGTCCTAATATTCCGCCGTTCCATTAATTAAGATGAAACGACGACAGTTTAACTGAGTAAGTTGTTTCATATGTTGTTGGGTATAAGTTAAAATGAAACTGTACTGAAGTCAGAATAATACTGTAGTGTCTGTCAAATGAAACTCTAGGATGTATATAAGAAACTTATTATGTATTGTCACATGTTGTTGGGTATAGTGTTAAATGAAACCATGGAGTAGTTAAAATGATACTGTAGTGTTTGTCAAATGAAACTACATGGTGTATATAATGATACAGAGTATGTGGTGTCAAATATTGTTAGGTATAATTTCAAGTGAAATTGTAGTGTAGTTAAAATGATATTATAGTGTTTGTGTAATGAAACTGAGTATATGGAGTCACATACTCACATGTTGTTGGGTATAATGTAAAATGAAACTATAGTGTAGTCAGAATGGTACTATAGTGTTTGTCAAATGAAACTGCATGGTGTATATAATGATACAGATCAGAGTATGTGATGCCAAATATTGTTAGGTATAATTTCAAGTGAAACTGTAATGTAGTTAAAATGATACTATAGTGTTTGTGAAATGAAACTGCATAGTGCATAGAATGAAACTGATTATGTTCAACACTACTCCTTGTGATATTTTTATGATTATTCAACCGTGATTCTTTATTGTTGTTATAAAGATCATTTTTTTTGTTTTTGTTTTTGTTTTGTTTTGTTTTTATTTTTATTTATAAATAATATACTTGTTGCAGAAAAAGTATAAAAAATGAGAAAAACACACGACAACAGAAAACAAAGGTAATACTAGATACACAAGCGACAATACTCACGGCACCTGCTGAAATCAGTGAACAAGATGCTGGTAAACAACCTACAAGTGCACCCAAGCATAAAAATAAAGAAGATAAACTAGCTCAAAGACAACCCAAAAAGGCCAAAACTGTTTCCCAAAAACAAAATATTGATGACATTAGATTCCTGTTGACAAGAATGTCACCACGACAAATTCGGACACTCTTTTCTTTGCTTAGGTTTTGATGGACATTGAGTTTACCTTATCAGCTAGCAATCCAAAGCAAAACCCTCCTAGAAGCTAACCCTAGCTCATCCACTTCCACTTGATCATCTTAAACCCAAGAAATCACCATAAGGAAAGGAATAAGAAGCTTGAAGATGGACGGATGGAAATAGAGAGGAAATCTTACCAATAGAAGATGAAGGAAGATGCAGCTTAGCCAATATCAATGGTGAGGAGGAAATCTTTCCTGACAGGTAATTTTGTACCCAAGTCTTGCGAGCTTATCTGTAACCGAGGTGAGGTTAGTGTCTTTCCGCTTATAATGGATATCACGTCCTTGATTGATGTCGGAGAACTTGATTTTGATGGTGATGATGAGGAGTACCTTCCCGAGCATGATTCCCCTCTTTTTGCAAATTTTCCCCTTCTTCCGTTTGTTGTTGACTCACCCACACCTAGGCCCCAACTGAAAAAGAAGAAAAAGCGCAAGGCCTCATATTCCGCTCTTGATAACTCCCTCGTCCTGTCCATACGGCCTCAACTAGGGTCACATGATTGGGAGGATATTAGAGGTCTCCTTAGTCCTGACGTTCTGACTTACCCTCGTAAACCTCAGGGTAATATCTCCGACCCACCCCTCGATAAGTATTTTGGGGTCCACCTTCTGTCGCTACAGGTTTGGCTGCGGTTTCCCCTTCATAGGTTTGTGATAGATTTTATGAACTACTATGAGATAGCCCCCGGCCAGCTTGTTCCCAACGGCCACCAGGTGATTGCGGGCTTTCTTTCTATATGCCAGGACAAAGGGATAGAACCCACGCTAGATCTTTTCCAGGCACTTTTCATAGTTGGTAGGGCTTCCCAGGATGGTAAGAGATTTGTCATGGTTTCGAGTAGGCCGCGTTTCAAACTCTTTGAGGACCGCCCTACTTTTAACAAGGATTGGAAACCCAAATTCGTTTTTGTCACACTTGTGGGTCGCCCGTCTCCCTTTCGTGTCATGTGAGTATCCCATCTACGTTGCCCTCCTACCCTCGACATGAGTCCTTCCCTCCGCCGAGATGTAGATGACCTACTAGGGGATGGCCTTTTATCGACCGTTGATTACACCACCGAGTGGAAACTCGCGGGCTTAGGCTTCGTGAAGACTCAACCTGCTGCTCTTGTACCCACAGGTATTCTTCTGTTACCACTTAGTCTTTATTCATCAACCACTAACTCTAACTTGTCATCGTTTGTTGCAGGTACCATGTCTTCATCTTCGAGATCCGACTGATACTTGTCGCGATCGCAGGATCCCCCCTCCAAGAAGAGCAAGGTAGAGAAAGGTAAAAAGAGCCAAGCCGCCCCCGCCGGCACGGACGCCTACTCCATCCAAGGTCGCCAAGGGGGTGACGCAACCTCCATCAACTCGCACACCCACGGCCGTTGCTTTTCCCCTCAACCCCCCGAGGTGCAAGGAGACACTTCCATTGAGCCCGGCTCGCGTGTTCGGACCAACGTGATTCGACTGGGAGCGGACGTGCCACCGGGAGCGTCGATAATAAATAAAAGTCTTGATGCAGTTGAGTATGCTGCTCGTATTGCTCCTCCTGCGGACTTGGAACACCTCGTCGCCATGGATGTCAACATGCTGCAAGAGCGTTACCTTCGACACATTTTTTAGGTCAGTTTTCTCATACTTATGTTCTTTCCCTGCGCTGGCGTATCTTACTCTGTCTGTTACTTTCAGGCCTTGCTAGAGGGACAAATCATTCATGCCTAACGGCGGCGGGTGACAGACGTTCTCATTGAGGATGTGAAAAATAGGGATGTGGACAACAAGATCCTGAAGGACCTGCTGTCGATCCGGGAGGGGGCTCTGAGCAAAATGGAAGGTGAGCTTGGGGCGCTAAGGAAGGAGCACCAAGCACTGTTGACCCGGGAGGGGGCTCTGAGCAAAATGGAAGGCGAGCTTGAGGCTCTAAGGAAAGAGCACGGAGCACTTACACTTGCCCTAGGGAAGGAGCGGGAGGACCATGAGAGGACCCGTGCTGACCATGCTAACGCCCTTGGCCGGGCTGTAGAGGTCTACAAGAGTTCAGCCGAGTTTAAAGAGGACGCGATGCACTATATGAGCACTCCTGAGGCTGTCCGGGAATTCCTCAAAACTGGAGCTGGCCAAGAGGCGGTCGAGGCCGAGGCGCAGGTGGCTTTTAACATTGGGATGTACACGAAACAACAACAGATTTTTCCAGTGCTGAGGGAGAAGGTTCCAAATTTTGACCCCGTTTTACTTAGCTTGCCTGTCATAGAAAAGAATCCTGACCCTGATATCCAGAATGAATCCACTGATGATGTTACTGATGCTCGTGAGGATTCTTTGGTGGACGAGTTTCACGGCATCGAAACTAGCAACGTCCCCAATGTTCCACTCGATCAAATTGTGATTGAGGACCTCACGGACAACAAGTAGTTTGTAGTCGTACTTGAGATTTTTTTCCCTTGCTTCCCAGCTATATATTCGAATAGTTTGTTTTTCTATGTTTGAACTAAAACTTTGTTACTTTTTGGAATTTCGGAATAAACCAATTACTTCGGAATAAACTCGTTACTTTTATTTTATTATTATTATTTTTTTTGCTGAGACGGACTTCGGCGTTGGCCAAGGCGTGCCTCGGCCAAACCACGCCTCGGCCAAACTGTGGTCGAGGCGGGGCCTCGGCCAATCTTAGGCCGAGTCGTGCCTCGGCCATCAGAGTTGAGTCGCGTCTCGGCCAACCCGTGGCCGATGCGTGTGACTCGGTCTTTTATTATTATTATTATTATTATTATTATTATTATTATTTTTTTTTTTTATTTTTTATTTTTTTTTTTGAATAAACAACATGGGAGGACCATGAGCACGAGATATTATTTCAGAAAGCTTCGTAAAGGATGATAA